ATGATTCTCAAATCTCCGTTTCTTGCTTCAATCTCTCTGCTGACCTCTAATCTAACATCTTTAACTGCCTTTCATACATCTCAAACTAGATGTCCAATAGATGCCTTGAACTCAATAAGACCAAAACAGAACTCATTCTGTTTCCCCTAAAACTCTTCCCTTCTCCTACCTTCACTGTTATTATAGAGGGCAACACCATCCTCCGATTCCCTCAGGCTGGAAACCTAGGAGTCACCCTGGATTCTTCACTATCTCTTACTGCCCTGCCCCAACATATTCAAGTTGTTGCCATGGTCTATTGATTTCCTCCTTGCAATAGCTTTCAAATATGCTCCCTCCTGTGACATGTTACTATTCTAGTGCAGACTCTTATCACCTCATGCCTTGATCATTTGTAGTAACGTGCTGGTGGGTCTGCCTGCCTCAAGTCTTTCCTCACTCCAATCCATCCTTCACCTAGTCACTAATGTGATTTCCCTAAAACACAGATCTAATCATGTCTCCCTCCTACTCAATAAACTCCAGTGGCTTCCTATTACTTCCAGGATCAAATACAAATTGCTTGGTTTGGCATTCAAAGCTCTTCATAACCTAGCCCTTTCCTACCTTTCCAGTTTTCTTACACCTTACGCCCCAATACATATTCTTTGAACAAGTTACACTGGTCTTCTCATTATTCTAAGGACAAGACACCCATCTTTCAGCTCCAGGAATTCTCCTCTAACTGTCCCTCATGCCTAGAATGCTCTCCTTCCTCCACTCAGACTTTTGACTTCCTTGGCTTTCTTTCTTTCTTTTCTTTTTTTATTTTTTGGTGAGGCAATTGGGGTTAAGTGACTTACCCAGAATCACACAGCTAGTAAGTGTTATGAATCTGAGGCCAAATTTGAACTCAGATCCTCCTGATTCCAGGGCTAGTGCTCTATCCACTGCACCACCTAGCTGCCTCTGATTCCTAGGCTTTCTTTTTAAGTCCTAGCTAAAATCCCACCTTCTATAGGAAGTTTTCCCCAATCCCTCTTAATTCTAGTGCCTTATCTCAGCAAATTATTTCCAATTTATCCTGTACATATAGTCTTCTTTGTCTATATTTGCTTGCATGTTTTCTCCTCCTATCAGATTGTAAGTTCCCTAAGGACAGGCATTTCTTTTACCTCTTTTTGTATCCCCAGCACTTAACACAATGCCTGGCACTTATTGATTGATTGATCTTTGTTTTCTCACTAATTTTCAACTCTCCCTGTCTGTGGATTGCTTCCCTAATGCCTGCAAACATACCCATGTCCCCTAGATCTTCAAGAAACTCTCCCTTGATCCATTGATTCCTGCTAGCTGTTGCTTCATATCCTTCGTTCCTCTGATGTCTAAACTACTTGACATCATCTACAATTGGCGACTCTACTTTTTTTTCCCCTCCCATTGTCGTCTTCACTCTTACAGTCTCTTGACTTCAGCATTAAACTAAAACTGCTCCTCCAAAGTTATTAATAATCTCTTAATTGCCAAACATTAATCACCTCTACTCATCCCTCAGCCCTCTTGACTTCTCTAAAGTCTTTGACACTGTCATCAATAAAATGAGATAATATTTGCAAAGTGCTTAGCGTAGTGCCTGGCACAAAGAAGGAGCTATGCTATATGAATGCTTATTGCCTTTCCCCACTTTATCATCCTCTTCTTCTTGATACTTTTCTCTAGGTTTCTGTGGTATTCCTCTTTCTTGGTTCTCTTCCTACTTATCTAATCACTCCTTCTCTGCTTCCTCTGATGGATGGATCTTCATCTAGGTCACATCTGCTAACCATAACTACACCGCAAGGCTCAGTCCTGGGCCTTCTTCTCTTCTCCTTCTATGTATCATTTCACTTGTTGAGCTTATCAGCACCCATAGTTTCAATTATCACCCTTGCATTGGTGGTGCCCGGATCTATTGTACTTTACCCCCATGTTCTCTGAAATCCAGTGACATTGGCCTTTTTGTTGTCCCTCACACAAAACTATTTATCTTCCAATTTTTTCACTGGCTGTCCTCCATGCCTGAAATTCTCTTCCCCCTCATTTCTGATCCCTGGCTTTCCTATAAGTCTCAGTTAAAATACCTCCTCCTACAAGAAGCCTTTCCAAATTAGTTACCTTTGCTCTGAAACTATCTCCATTTATCCAACATACATCTTACGTGTACATAGTTGTTTACATGTTGTCTCTGCATTAGACAGTAAGCTCCTTGAGAGCAGGCGCTGTTTGTTTCTTGTTTAATTATTTATCTATCCATCCATCGATCTACCCATTTACTTGTCTGTCTGTCTGTTTTTGCTTCCTTTTTCATTGTCTTCTTAACTCTCTTACACTTTGTTTTTTGACCTCAGCATTAAACTGAAACTGCCCTATCCTAAGTGACTAATGATCTCTTAATTGCCAAATATTAATTACCTTTACTCATCTTTCATCTCTCTTGACTTCTCTAAAGCCTTTGACACTGTCATTAGTTAACTGCATACCCAGTACTTTGCATAATGCCTGGCACAGAGTCAGCATTTAATAATAACATTTTATATTAAATTAATTTAAAAATAAAATATGACATAATTATCATAATAAAATTTATTAATAATAAATGCTGAATTCTTTTTGAATTTCTAATTAGAGGTCTTGATGCAAATTGCAATGGAAATGATACTGGATTTGGAGTCAGAGGCCCTGGGTTTGAATCTTAATTCTGCTGCCTACTGTCTGTGTGACCTTTAGTCATAGAGGGTAAGTGAGTTAACCTCTCTATTCCTCATTTTCCAAACTATGTCTTTGAAAATGGGCCAGATGGCTTTCTCAGGTGCCTTTGTGATCGTATGATTCTAAATTGCATTCAAGAGTGTGCTGATTTTCCCCAAACAATTAAAAATTTAGAAAATCAAAAGCAGAGCTAGAAAAATCACAATGACAATGAAGAGTCAATCTGATCTCCACTGGTGGAATTCCACCAAGCCAAAAACTGTTTGGCCATCTGGACTGGTAAATTATGACTCAGGAGAAAATTATAGTATATACTTATGCACATGAAAGATTACAGGACATAAAAGAGTTTTTCTTTTTCTAAAAAAGGCAGGGATGTTCAGATTGATTTCCCAATTATATCAATGGCTCCTTTGTCCCATTGAAAAGCCTTTTCATTGCTGTGATCCAACACGACTTTTTGACTTACAGATCTTGAATGTGAGGATGACTATAATCTAGAAGGAATCTTGGAGGCCATGTAGTAATATTTTTTTTTTCATTTTATGGATTAGGAACCAAGACCCAGGTTAAGTGACTTGCCCGTGGTCACATAGTAAATAAGGGTCTAAGATGAAGACCTCAGGTCTTCCCAATGTCAAGTCAAGTTCTCCATTCACTATGACATGCTGCCTCTCTGTGATGTTTGGCTCTTGTTACAAAGTGCTGATTCAATTGTGTGGCTCTGACCTTAGCATGAATCATATCCAGACAGTATTAAATGTTGCCCAACAAGTTTAGAAAGTACATTTAAATTTAAAAAAAGCATTTCAAAATATATATTTGAATCCAGACATATCTGTAGAAAAGTTCTGGAAGTGTGTTCTAGAATTCCCAGCTTCCTTCTAAGCTCAATTCAAGCACCAACTTTTACAGGAAGCCCTTTCTGATCTCCCCATAATGGCTCTCCCTGCCCCTCAGCAGAAGTTACTCTGTATTATAATTCTTATGTGTTTATGTGTTGTTTTCCCTAGTAAAATGCAAACTCCTTTAGGGCAAGGATGGTTTCTACCTCTCCCAATTTCCATTTCTCTCCTTTTCCTCTCTCCCTCTCCAACTTCCACTTGTCTCCTCTTCCCCTCTCCCTCTCCCTTCCCCCTCACTTTCCCCCTCCCATTTGCTTGTTTATTAATTAATTTCTAGATCCAAGTTGGTTGGAAATGAGGACACCAAGAATACCTATGTCCTCATGGCCTCAATGTGCGCTGACCCATCCAAAATACAGTATGTGCAGAAAGCTCTGGTGTTTATTTCAGGTGGGGAAAGTGCCACTTTGATGTCGAATAGATGATTTCCTCCTTTTGTCTTCTTGTTCCTGCTTAATAACTGAGTTGAACGTGAGTTTTAAAAAAGGGAGTTTTTTTCTACAATGTGAATATAATTTGAATACCATCGAAGCAGAAATATACAGAAGTTGATGCTTTGTTCAAATGTGGTGTTTGAATTATCAAAAATATTTCCTAAAGGGAATTTATCATTTGAAAGTAGTAGGGGAAATTTCAAATTCAGAACATGGTTAAAATGCTTTTTAGAGTCTATGTTGTGCAATACGAATATTGTAAAGAAAGAATATTGTAAAAAAAAGTACTTTTCAGTACTTTAGAAATCTGATGAACCCGATGATAAACTACAAGTCCCCCCCAACAAAATGAAGCTAGAACATGCCACCCACTCCCTGAGACTGAGATGCTGAACTTAAAATGCAGAAAGCTACACATATTCTCAGAGATGACCATTGTGTAGAATTTGTTTTCCTGGATTATGAATTCCTATATTGAGGGTTTCACTTTTTTTTAAATTTTAAAAAGGTTACTCAATGGAAAATAATGGAAGGGCAGATTAAGAAAAGAAATATTTTTTAACAATTAAAAAAGAAATGAATATATCTTAAAAATGAAAAGCATCAATAAAATAAAATTCTAAAAATTAAAAAAAACTCTATAAAGCATTTTATAGTAAAGATGGCTTTAAGACAAGATTCTTTGAATATCTCAGTAACTTATCCCTTTTGAGATGGCCCCAATATGATCCCTCCTTAACAATATATTCTAGTCTAGTATGAGTGGTGTGGAAGTGATGTCTAGTTACATGAAACTATGCAATGTGTAGAAAAGAGGAAGAAATATCTTAAGGAAGACCTCACTATTTAGGCTTGATCCTTTTCTGAAGTCGCAGGAGGGAGGGAGTGAGCCAAATTTAATTTTTGTCTCCTTTTTCATACTTTTCAACTTCTTCCCCCCCCCCCCAGAAGCAGGAAGAGTTGGAAGCAGTTTCTGTGCTTTCTTGTAGAGTCTGTTTCTTGCTTCATATTCTTTTCACAGCTGTAAGATAAGTTTGATATTGATAATTGGAGGATTGTTGATCACAGTTATCTCTGTGGTTGCATCTATAAAGGAATCTTTGTGATTATAACACATAGGTCCTAATTTAACAATAAGTAGGTCACAAGGGAAATAGTTCTTTATGTTCCTGATGAAAAAATCTGTTTCTTTTCTTTAAAATTTTTTTGTCCGACTATTTTACTTCTTGTCTTAGCTATAAATATATTGTGGGACAATCTTGCTTAGTTGAATTTATCACTAAAATTTCTGAAGGTCTCTTTTCCTACCCATAATTCTTCATTGGTTTGTGAGGTCACACTGCCAATAAACTCCCATCATTTGTCTCCACCACATTTCACAAAAGAGTTTCTATTTTAAATCAGTGTTGACTTCAGCTGCTAAGATTCTCCACTTGACAGAGAGATGAAATGGTTGCTGTATGAGACAACATTTATAATTTTTCACCATTCACATTGGGGCAATTGTTTCATATTGGTTAAGTTTTTGTAGGAAATGGTCATAATCAGATACAGTGTCTTTTATTTTATTTCTTTCCCACTGTTGGCACAATTGCTTTGTTGGATAGGTCAGGTTTGAGTTATCATGTCTTCTTTTTGACCCTGGTCTTCCAATTTGGTGTCATTTTCACCTATGCTGATTCTGAAATGACTTTCAGTAATAAGTTATTTCCTGACTATAAAGTTTTAGTCAGTTTCATTTTTGTGATGTTTTTCAATACTCATCACATCCTGTGACTTCTAGTTCACTACTTCAAGAAAATACAAGAGATTTTGGAGTAATTCACAGGCATTTAGCCTCTTACATTTTTAATTTCAAAATGTATAATCCCTTAATCTTCGCTGTGTCTACCTTCACATGGATTTCATAGGATCATAGATTTAGAGCTGAAAGAACAAGTAGTCTAACTCTTTATTTTACAGATGATTAAACTGAGGCCCAGAGAGTTCAAGGGACTTACCAGGGTCACATAGGTAGTAAATAACAGAGGCAGGATTTGAACCCAAGTCCTTTGATTCCAGAAACAACGATTTTCATCAAATGACAATTTGATTTAATCCAGTCTTCTCAAGCAGATTGTTTCCTCCATTATGTCTACTCTCTCTCACTTACCTTCAATCTACTGGCTCCTTGCCAGATATCCATCCATGTCTTTCTCATTCTCAAAAAACATCCACAGTAGTCATAGTCCCATATCTCTCCACCCTTCTTTGGCTGAACTCTTCCTTGAGAAAAAAAGTTGACAATAGATACTCATTTCACTCACTTCTTAACTCTTCACAATCTGACTTCTGACCTCATCATTCAACTGAAACTGTTCTCTCCAAAGTTATCAATAATCTGTTAATTGCCCAAATATAATGGTCTTTTCTAAAACATGATCCTCCTTGATCTCTTTTTAGACTTTGGCCCTGTTGATCACCCTCTTTACCTTGATACTCTTCTCTCTAGGTTTTCATGACTCTGTTCTCTCCTGGTTCTTCTCTTGCCTGATTGTTCCTTCTCTGTCTCCTTTTCATCCAGGTCATGCCTGTCAACTATAGGTGTCCTCCAAGGGTCTGATTTGGGTTTCTTCTTCTCCCCCTATAGTTTTTCACTTGGTGACCTCATCAGCTCCCATGTTTTCAATTATCTCTCAGATCTACTTGTCAAGCTCTAACTTCTCTCTTGACCTCTAGACTTTCATCTCTAACTGCCTTTAAACATCAGAAACTGAATGCCCCATAGACATCCTAAATTCATCATGTCCCAATCTGAACTCTTTATCTTTCCCTCCAAACTCATCCCTCTTCCTATTTTTCCTGTTATTATTGAGGGTACCACTATCTTGTTAATCGCTCAGGCTCACCACCTAGCTGCTGTCCTTTATTCCTTACTCTTTCATTCCCCATATCCAATCTGTTTCCAAAGCCTGTTGATTTGACATTCAAATATTCCCCCTTCTCTCCCCTAACCATAATTTCACCCTGATCTAGGCCCTCATTATCTCAAGTCCTAATTATTGCAATGGGCTTCTAGTCACTCTTCCTGCCTCAGGTCCCTTACAGTTCTAGTCCTTTCTTCCACTTCACTGTCAAATTGATCTTCCTAAAGCACAAGCTCAACTGCGCCACCATTCTGGCTCCCTATTGCCTCCAGGATCAAACATAAAATCCTCTGTTTGGCTTTGAAAGCCTCTCATAACTTGGTTCATTCCTACCCCAGTCTTTTTTTCACCTTTCTCCTCTCCACATACTTTTTGATCCTGTGATACTGGCCCTCTTACTCTTCTTCAAGCATGACACTCCCTGCTACAGCACTGAACATTTCTACTGGCTGTCCCTCATGCTTGGAATGACCTTAAACTGTTAGGGGCAGACCTGACAGGTCCTTCAATGTTGTGGTGGAATAAAACACTTGTAGATTCCACTACTTAATTTGGGTAGACCAATCCAATTCTATGCTCTGTGTCTTCATCTTCCATTCCCAGACAATTTATTTCCATTGATAGCAGTATTTATCCAACCTCAAATGTCAGCAGTATTTATCCAACCTCAAATGTCAGGAGTTGAAGAGGAGTGAACAAGTTTCACCAGCTGACCTGCTCACACAGGTAAATTATATGTTAGAAGTGTCCTATAACTGAAAACTGAAGTCATTTAAATGGACTACACCCAAGAGGTGGGACCTAATTGCCCCAAAGGCAAATTGGTACTAGATGTGGAAAGCTATGGGGGTCCATATACTTCCAATCTATCATATCAGTTTCCTTTAGAACTTCATTCTTGCCCTTATAGATCTCTGTCAGCAAGTTGGCTGCAATGGGATTTCAACGTTAACTGAACTTTGTAAAATCCTTTGAGTAAATCCTCAAAAAGCTCCCCAAGCATATAGAACCAGCCTATGGAAAGAATCTCTGCATTGATACAATTAGACCTCATCTCAGGAACCTCTGCTTCAGTGAATAATCAAGTTGCTATTTGAGCTTCTCATGCATCTTCCCTAGTCCTTGGTAGAGAAAGGCTGCCCACCCCTCCTCCCTCAGTGGAGGAAATCACTGTCTTCTGGGAAGCAGTAATAGGGTAAGTTTGAGACTTTCTTACCACTGCTGAGAGTTCCAAGTCTCTTCCTCACTCCTGCTTTCATTTTCCTATGTTATGGTTCTGTTTTCGATAGGGGGCAGTGAAAGCTCTGCATTGGAAACCCATATTTCTACCCCTAGGCTGTGGCCTATCAGTCCCTCCTCTCATCGACCAAACTCCCTTTACTTGTTCCATTGCCTACCTCTCCAGCTTCATTGCATGATGCTTAAAGACACAAGCTCTGTGTTTTGTTGAACACATTGGTCAAATATACTTTGAGTTTTATTATACTAGCAGTTCAGCTTCTGCAGGTGAATCATGATCAACTAGGGAATAAGAGACTTGGTCCCCCCCCCCCTTCCCTGGCAGTCTTCTTTAGCATCTACTTAGCTAATCACTCTGCATGATGAGGGGAGGAGGCTGCTGTCTTTTCAGAGAGTGTTCTCCATACACCCCCAGAAAGCCCCAGGCAGCAGCGTGTTATAGTGGGGGATCCAGCCATGGGATCATATTTGTAGTCCTTTTCCTTCCACTCAACTGTACTGTGAACCATGAGGACTTCTCATCCCAATTACCAGCTACAACAAATGTCACAGGTAAGCCTGGCTCGGACCTGTCCTTTGTTAGTCCAGAATCAATGTTGGGGCAAAATGAGGTACTCACAAGTTATTCAGCAGATGACATTAACACTTTACTTAGCCACATCTTAGAAAAAGATATTCAACAAAGATGGTCTAGCTTGGGTAGATAGCCCCATCCCCAGCTCTTCTCCATATGGAAAGTCTTAGTATACCTACCAAGTCTGAAGAGCACAACCCCTCAATGAGTAGAACTTTTTAGTCCTATATGTGACTGTAACTAGAGACCATAGAAAGCTATGTCAAGGAAGGTGTGACTGGAATCAATGTACCCTCTTTCATTTCTATCAAGTCTGAGGGACAGTTTTGTTGCCTTTTGAGAGGAAGTAACTAAATGAATACCTGTTGTGGGGGAGGTCAGAGGGGGAAAAGGAAGAAGAAAGGGAATGAATATTTTTACAGAACCTACTATGTGACAGGCACATAAATGCTTTACAAAAATTATCTCATTTGATCTTCATAACAACCCTGTGAGGTAGGTGGAGAAACCCTGGTAGATGTTGCTTCTTGTCAGAAAAGTCAACTAATCAATTAATTAGAGTTTAGTAATTATTTACTGCATCCTTGGAACTGTGTTAAATGCTAGGAACACAAGAATAATAGTGAAAACAATCCCAATATCCCATATGCAGTGCTTACTAGTTCTTTGACCATGCCTAAGACATTCAACCTTCCTGAGTCTCAGTTTTCTCATCTGTAAATTGGGAACAAACATATCTGTTAGGCCTACCTTACAGGGTTGTGAGGCTCAGCTGATGTAACGTACGCAGAGTGCTGTACAAACCTTAAATTTACATTAAAATGTTCATTTTTAGTTAAAGTATTGAGCTATCGATTACATGAGCATATAACTTGACTGCATTGCCTCATTTCCATGTCTTAGAATCTCTGGTTTCCTTCAAAATTAAATTCAAATACCACTTCCTACATGAGGCTTTTCCCTGACCTCTCCAGCTGCTAATGTCTCACCCTCTAAAATTGTCTTTTATTTTCTTTGTATATTTATTGACTGTTTGACCCAATTGTACCATTTAGCATAATCTAAATAATGACACTTAGAATTTGTGGTCCACAATACTATAGAGTCCTGTTTCCAGGAAGTCAAGAGCCTACAGAATAGGTCTGTGTTCTGTGATCAGCCAGTTAATAGTCACGTATACCTATCCTGAGTCTAAGCTTCATCAAATGAGGATAATACTGAGAATTTGCTGAGATTTTGACAGAATTTTCAGAAATGTTGTCTGCAGTGAAAGAAGCATTATTTGGAAACTTACCAAAAAAAAAAATGAAAAGGATTGTCCTTTCTTTAGAGAAGAAAGATCCCATTAAAAGTGCCTCTTAATTCTTCTCAGACACTCAAAATGGCTAGAAATAAGGAAGTACGATGTCATTGCACTGACTTTGAACGAGTCTCTTGACTTCCTGGAAACAGGACTCTACGATATTTTTTTGAGAAGTAGGTAAAACTGAATCTGACACCACTACGTAGTAGTGCCTATAGCTAGCAAGTGGTTAGTTGAAGGGTAACAGAGGAAATTGCTCTCTGACTGATAAGACAACCCGGCAGAGTGTGCGTTCTCAGTTATTTCATTTTTGATTCTGTTTTATGAAGAAATACTCTTTTTCTCAAGCAATAACAATTATTTTCCTTTTCAGAAGGACGCATGCTGTTTCATTAGGATACAGTTGATTCCCAGACATAACCATGTTTTGTTTTTGTGGCTTAAACTCTTGACATTTGGCTTTGCATTTCTGGACACTGATGTCTTTGTCGCAGGTATGTGCTTAGATCTTCATGATTTCTTGTTTGAAATTTTATTTTAGAAGATTTTTTCTAAAATTGCCGTAACTAATACTGAAAGAAAATTGCAGTGAGTGTCAATGTAGACTTGGTAACTTGGAAATAGGTGATGCAGAGATGCCAAAGTTCCCTGAGGTAATGTGGAGGTTTAACTTAAGCGGCATGTTACAACGCTTCCGTTGGAAGAGGGTATGTTTTCTTTTGGGAAAAATTCATAATAGAAAGGAAAAAGTGTCTTTTTCAACTTTTACCTATTGCTCAAGGCTCTTAGAAAAGCAAAACTTATTTTTTTAAAGAAATAAAGGCTCTAAACTTTTTCTAACATGTCAGATTTTAGGTTTTATTATTATTTTTAAAATGAGAAAATACGTATTTTTCCCTTTAAACATCTATAATATTTTCAACACCCTGCTTTTGTGAAGTGATACAGAAGGACTTCAGTGGCATGTAAGCCACTCCCTGTTCTCAGCCCACAAATTTGCTTCCTCAAATTTTGATGACTACTCTCGGCATTTTACTGAATTCCAAATTTATGTGATGATGTGGAATCATATGTCAGTGTTAACCTTCTGTTGATTCCTATGACTACAAAGTTTTCACATCCAGGTTTTAGTCTCACAGGAAGGCCATGGATGGACTTGGGTATTCATTTTTCTGCCTTGGTAACCAAGGCACCAACACCCTTCCTGGGTGTATTGGTGAATTGTAGATTTCAGGCTT